TTGTGTCTCTTCCCCAGTGTGCCCTCCCTCCTCATTGCAACATTCCATTCAAGCCGCCCACGGTTCTGTAAACCGTAGCAACTGGAAGTCAGAACTTCCAGGCTGGGAGAGCGGGTAGGGAGTACTTTGGAATAGTCGGGTTTTGACACCGGCTGTAGAACTTGGGTGTGTTTAGGCTAATATAACTTTCTGCTCCCTCAAAAGAAGCATCGGGGCTGGGGAGATGGCTCAGTGGGTTAAGAGTGCTTGCTCTGCAAGCATGAGACCCGAGTTTGGATCCTCAAGACCCACATAAAAAGCTGGGTATTGCCATGTATGCCCCAGCATTAGGGGTGGTGGGTTGATAAGCAAATTCCAAGAGCTTGCTGACCAACAGAGCTTCCCAGTTTAGCTAGAAACTCTGTCTCAAGGCAATAAGCTAGAGAACAGAAGAGCTGGCGGTTCTGTCCTGTTCTGGCCTTGGCATGTGCACATATGGACTTGCATGCCTACTCCACACACAGGAACATCAAAATATTGAATAAAGTGGGGGTTCACTGAATGCTGCTTGCCATTTCTTCCAAATGTATTACTTTGGACCCATTGTTACAAAACCTAAAGTTTTCTAGGTCCTTTGAACGTGTAGGCCCTCCCACTGTGAGAGGACAAGGAGTGTCCCCTTAGCCAGGCGTCATGGAGCTCCTGCATCTACCTCCTGAGGCTGCCCTTCAGGGAGCAGGTGGCACCTTGTCTGACAGAAGACTCAGAAGACTAAGGTGCTCACCTCTCATAGCTGCAATGTCTTTTCTCCAGACTACTTTTCTTCTGCCCTTATTTAGTTTCAGAATAATAAGCACCTAAAATATGTCCCTATGGTAGCCTTATAGACTTTGGAAATGTACTTAAATAAAAGAACTTGTCTTAACATTTTTGTTTCTGCAGCCCTTCAGCTCATTTTATGAATAAAGGTAGCTGGGTATAGAACGACCTGCTATTCCACCTCCAACATGAACACACTTCCTGGGTGCACAATCCATTTCACCTTCCAATGCCCTGCTTCCCTGGAGGCAGGACAAAACCCTAATCCTCATGAAGCTTTAGTGGAGCTCGAGGGAACCAGCACTGGATTCCTAAAATGGGAAAGATCAGGCTCATCAGGAGCTCAGTCATGTGATGCTGACACAGGTTCAGAACTTCTGCAGTTAAAGATATTTTGTTTTATTCAGAAATCCATGTATCCATGTACCCAAAAGTTTACACAATGATTTCTATTCAATTTATATTAAAGGACATCAGTAGTTTCAAATGCTTTCTGTTTATATGTTATAAGCATTGTTCTGGATCGGTATTAGTAGAATTTTACCCATTTCTGGTGATTTTCATGCTTTCAAATGAAGAATTAGATCTGCCACCAAACTGATTCCTTAAGCCATGCACTTGATTATGACGGGCCCCATTCTGGGCAAAAATTTTCTGAAGACATCCACCATGATACCAAGTTGTGAGTGTACACAGACTTTCTCTTCACATGCACAGCTGTAGATGTTTCTGCCCTTCCGACCTCGTTCAATGTACATGTATCTGGTGTGGTCATGGTAGAAGAGTGCAGATGTCCACCGGCACTCTCTAGTGAGGCAGTGTTCGGTGGCATGTGCAGTGTCTATGCACATATTACACATTTCTCCTGTTGGGACCATTTCATGTTGGCCACTGTGCTGGTGTGCACCATGTTAATATGCAGCAATTTGAAAATATGTTGACTGATTTGTTTTTTGTTTTTCAGTGCATTTTAAGGTTAACTGGGCAAAGATTTGTCAGTGAAGGAAATGAAAGCACTTTCTAGGTTCTGCTAAATACACGTTTTAGGGAAAGTGTCAGTCCAATATATTCAGAATGTGGTCTTGCCCTTCTCTATTGCTTTAACAAGTAGACATGGCAAAGAACTTTGCAGGGGCGCACTGGTGTGAGCACAGAATCCACCTGTGCCATTGGGGGACAAGAATCTAGGAAGCACGTGTCAGGAAGGACCCTCGTGAAAGCAGAACAGAATTTAAAATGCAATGAGCTTTTCACAGAGCAGTCTGTGGTTTGTGATATTCAACACTACACACACCATCAACAGCATCTTATCAGACTTCAAATATCTTTTGAAATTTTAACTTTAAAATGTGATTTTCCTTATAAAGATGTGATGGCTGCCAGGCCCAGTTTTCTCTACTGAAAACTAGGCACCAATCCCCAGATAGACCATTTTTAAAAAGTTTTGTGGCCCTTGTTCTGAGTCTTCACTTCATAAGGAGTTTCCAAGCTCAACTCTGTTCACAGCTCAGCCAGCCCTCAGGGTTTCAGACTACTGGCATCAGGACAGCTTCCTGCAGTATTTATGATATAAGCACAACTTATAAGTATTGGTGTTAGGCTAGAAATGTCACACTGGAGAGCTGGCCCTGAAGAGGCTCTTCCCAGGCCATGCAAGTATTGCATCAGAATGAGACAAAGCAGCGTTACTCTGCTGCTGCAGACAGACATGCTGAACAGCCCTGTAGTGAATAGTCATCTTTTGACTTAAAGTCAACCTAAAGTTTAAAACTGGCAACCAAGGGGAAGAAATCTTATCTAACACTCATTGAATGCCAGCAATTTAATGAAAAAAAAACAAAACAGCTCTCCAATCTGAAATCTGATTTGGTCTTTCATGGAGATCACTGAGATTGGGCTGGCTTCCTTCTAGCATCCAGACCAGACTTCTGCTGTCTTAGAAGTAGGCCCTTAACCCAAACACCGTACCTCCATGACTTAAAAAGTGAAGTCCAAGCTAGATTCAAAGATGACATGCAGTCATGAGATCATATAAATATCTGTTTTAATATTTACCCCAGACTGAACACAATAAAAGCTAGTACTTGTGAAAACTGCAAACCTTTTCCATTCCTAGTGGTTCTTATGATCATAGTCAAGTTCATGTATGCTTTATTTTTCCTTATCATTGTTCTCACATAACCCTTGACATTTATTTTTGTTGGCATGTGCTAATACATGCACATTCCCAAGACAGCAAAGAGAATCCCCAGTCCAGCCTTCTGTTTGTGTGAAGCCAATTAAGATACTGCCTCTAGTGCCTGGAGATGCTGGACTGCAGAGACAGTTGCTATGGAAACAAAATTGCCTCGGCATTTCTGGCAGAGGCAGAAATCGCTGACTAACAGGCCTTCAAAAGGGACTTGGTATAAAACACAGCTCCCTCCCCCTAATCTGGGCACCATTCTATGAGGAAAGTGGGTTAGAATTGTGAAGGCAAACATGACATTCTGACAAAATTGATTTTCCTATAACGGTGTTTTCTTTTATTGAATCAAATAAAATTGAGTGGGGAATCTTGAATAAATCTTTTAGTTCATTTGTCTTTAGTACAAACAATGGATTTCAGAACATATAGTAGCTTCTCATTTATATGCAGCTTAAAAATCCTAGAGTGTATTTATTTTTAAAACAATACTCTTACACAGATGTGCTTTAAAGTGAACTGGTAATGATTTATTTCATAGCTTATTTAAGACAAGTACTTTAAAAGGAGAGACTAGACATGTATTTCTTTTTAAAAATACAGTTTTTGGTCATGTGAATGATTTATGTTCAGACTTCAAAAATAGAAAATGTCCTAAAGTGCATAATTTTATTTATAACTCCTTGAAATTATAGTAATTTGCAAATGTAAACAGTAAAGAATATCAAACTACATTTTCATGTACATTTAAATTTGTAGGATTACGTACCATCTTTAAGCATGTGCATAAGACCAGGGCATTTCCAAAATGTAGCTCATGCTTCTGTATGAACATTTGTAAAAGCAAAATTGAAGGAATTGTGCCCCCCCCCAAAAAAAAGAGTTTCCCAGTGACAGAGGAGAGCTAGGCCTCAGCCAGGAGGGTGGTGCTGGATTTCATCCAACCTGCTTTATCACAGCAACTGGTGGTGCAGTTTTGCATTCTCTTCCTGTTCTTCTTTTTATTATAACTCTACCCTTAGAAGGCAACTCTCAAAAAGGAGCTGGGCCTCCTTGCTGTCTGCCCAGCCCAAACTACAGCTGCACAGGTAAGGCTGTTCATACCTTGTACAGGGTAACTGTGGGAGCAGGTGCCTGCAAACCCAAGCCCACACTCCTCAGACACGACAGATGAAAAGGAAACACATCATGGAGTGATAGCAAGCACACAGAAGGGATGAATGATTGAGCGTCCTAAGTTCTCTGGTCCCCCCAAAATGTCTAATATAGACAGTTTTGTGACCCAGTCTGATTTAAAAAAAAAAAAAAACATCAAAATTGGCTACATACCATTTTTTAAAATGTATTATCCTGAAAATAGTGTGATTTAGATCCTGCCTTGAGCTGAGCTCTGAGGGCTACATTTACCCATCCATTTAGGGATTTTAGTGCAGATTTACTTTCTTAGAAAAATTAAACTCTGGTAAGTATTCAGGAGGCTGAGGATACAGACTCCCTCTGTCCCATGATCTTCTAGACTTATTCTAAAAATTAAGCAAGACCCCTTTTATGTTTGGCTAGTGCAACAACAAAATTGAGCCCCAAACAGGTTGTCATAGGCACACTGGCCTCATTTTCATGTTCAGCATCAATGTCTGAGACTGGAAAGTGCAGTCAGTGTCTCGGAGACAGTTTCCAGGCTCTTCACCTGTAACCTGACATTAAATTGACACACTCAAGTCTGAGGCAGGGGCTGTTTTTCATGAGGTGAGGAAGTCCTGAAGAAACTCAGTCAACGAGATGACTGTTCCGCCACTGTGGACAGACACAGCTTCCCTCTACCTGAGAGCTAAAGAGGAAACTGATTCACCGGAGTGGGTAAGGTGCAGCTCGGGAAATGGACAAGGCAGCAATAGAACTCGATGCATGCTCACATGTGATGGGTCCAGGGCGAGCACAGACCCGCAGCGAGGAAAGTCCTGAGCTTGTTTTTGTCACAGTTAGACAGGGAATGGTCTCATGTTTTGCAGTTATCCAGGGAAGAACAGTGTGTTCTCTGCAGATGGGTATGTCTGGTGCCTTATCACTGCTATGGTCAGGTGGAGCACCCCCTGCAGTGTGTTTGCATGTGTAAGAGGCCTGACTTTCCCTTTACAGAATTCCTAAGTCAGGTCACACTGTCATCTTCCATGTAGGCAGCTTCTACGGCAGGCCATGGAAACAGGAGCCAGAGGTTGCCTGCTTTGTAGGTCCAGTGCCACGGCTGCCATCAGAGCTACTCGGCCTTAGGAACAGTCATCCTTGTGCGCCAGCCCTCCTTGCTGGGCGGGGCTGCCCCTTACATGGACGTGGAATCAGTGTCTCTCTTGCTAATGAGCACCTCCAGGAGTCGAAGCTTGGCCTTTATGTGCTTGTACGAGTTGTACTCTTCAGTCATTGGAGTGCGGTCTTCCTTCTGGACATTTCTAATGGAAACAAAGGAAAAAGGAGCCGAGGATCACTTCCTGTCTCTCTAGAGAATAGTGTTAGTCATCAGGAAACTAGCACTTGGAAACTATAGCAACCTTTAGAACCAGTGTCGCTGAGTGGTTCTTGGTATCAAGATAGGGCTGAATTTAGACAAGCAGTGAAAAACAGTTTTCTCCTAAAAGCACTCAAAAGCTTGAGGTTTTATGTAATTAGAATCTTATAGGAGATTATAAAGGACTGAGAAATGTAGAAATTCTCTATTGGTTGTTAAGTATAATTTCATAGTAAGAGTACCTATGAACAGAAATCTTTTATTGTTCTTAATACTTTCTCATTTTTATATCTTTATCTAAGGAACCATTAAATTTCTAATTAGCAATTGGTACACCTACAATTTGTAAGTATGTCAAGAACAGTTAATAACACTACTTACAAAATCAATCTTGGAATTCATCAGTTGGACACATAATGCTAAGTCGTTATTGCTTACTGAGTAATTTTATATGCAAACTTATCTGCACTAGTGTCGGTAAAAGCTTTCTACGGGGTCAAGCACTGTACCTTGTACCCAAGATCTAACAACCCCACAGCAGCTTGATAGGAATGTGCTACTACCTAGTCAGGCTCCTGGCAGTGGCTGCTCTACCGTCACACAGTCACTTGGGATAGATATGTGGCGAACACTCAACCCCCATGCTTCCCTTTCTTTGCATTATAGAGCAAATATGGACAAGGAGTCACCATTGGGCTTAATTAACAAACTGAGTTTTATTCCTGTTCCGCCTTGCTTTAGAAAAGGATTCTAGAAAAATCTCCATAGCAGAAGGCAGGGAACAGGGGCCAAAGAAGAATCTGCCACCAGTCCCTGTCGTGCTCAGTGAGGGGTTTCTTGGTCTTCAGATGTGAGATAACGCTAGATGTGATGATGGAAGACCCTTATAGCACGAAACTTGATAGTGATGATTAAGTTAGTCTCTATCATTTATACTTTAAAAAAAAAATCTATCCTTTCTTAATTAAAAAAAATATTTTTATGTGTATGAGTGTATTGCCTGCATGTATGCGTGTGCACCCCTGTTGTACAATGCCCTTGAAGGTCAGAAGAGGGTGTTGCATCCCTTGGAACTGAACTTACAGATGGTTGTCAGCCACCATGTTGGTGCTGGGAATCCAATCTGGGTCCTCTGTGAGATCAGCCAGTGCTCTTAACTGCTGAGCATCTCTCCAGTCCCTTAATTTTTGAATTTTAATGGCCTATCTATTCTACTCTGTGCCTGCCAAGTGCTCCTGGGTGTAGGTCCATGCCCTGGAGTCTGGTCAACTTACCAGGTGTCACACCGGTAAGGAAAACAGACTCTCCCTCTCCCAGCATCCATCAGTTGCCAGTAGATTCTCAACTAGGTCTGCGGCTTCCTGCCCACTTCCCTATGCATGCTGGGCCCCTGTCTGGCTTGGGCTTGCACAAGTCTTATGTATGCTGTCCTACATTTACATTTTCTTAAAATGTCTGCATGCTCAACAATATATAGTTCCAGGATGCAATGCACACTATGTGAGAATAATGTGAAAAATGAAAGGAACACAGACAGATCATAACATGCTAGAAAGAAGAATTGTAGGGAAAACATCAGTCAAGACATCACTATTAATTTTGCCTTATCTTTAGTTATTACTATTTTGAATATTACTTTTCTGTCTGCTTATTTATACTTTCTAAATCATCTGCAGTATATGTGGAAAGAAAAGCAAACATTTAGGTATAAAAATGTATGAATCTCGAGAAAGTCATTATAGAGCAGATCCAAATCAAAGATCCTAAAAATAAGCTTATGTCATGTTTGAACTAAACTGGAATATAACACATTTCCAGTGCCAAAGTTAATTTCTATGATGCTTTTGTTTCCTCATGCCAAGGACATAAAAGTACTCAAAAGAAACTACATAGTTTAACTAATTTGGACTAATGTAAAACCAATTTAAGATGATGAAACCTAATTCCACGTGAGAGATGCAAATCTACTCCTGGTTCTGCCCTTGGTTCCTGCTGTGATGTGAAGATGCTGGCAAAGACTGTCCTGGCAAACGTTGCACACAGAGGGTCAAGCTACCTTAAAACTCACGGGACAAAGACAACCCATTAACCAGGTAGACAACTTTAGTTTGCTTCTCATGTATAATTTTTGTTCATACTTGGCAACTATCATCTTTGGGGTTGTTTTGTTTTATGTTTGTAATGCCAAGGATCGAACTCAGGACCTTGCACAATACTGAATCACATCCCCAGACCAAAATTTGATTTTTAAACTGTAAAGTCCCCATATCTTTTCCTCTCTTTAGTTTCCTTAGAAAAAACTCAATGCTCAATTTGAAATTCATCTCCAAGTATCTAGTCTTAGCTGAGAATTTAATGTGACAAACTAGTGTTGTATGTCAGCAATAATCTGCACTGGCCTTGGACGTTGTATAAGGAGCGTTTCTTCCTGGATGTGCGCACAGATCATTTCTTACTGCATATATCTAAGGGTCCCTGGGCACAAACTCAAGGACCTGGTTACAGGAAGGATGCAGGAGCGTGCCCACTCTGGAAGCACTCCAGACATGAGACAGAAACAGAGAGCTGGTGTGGAGTGAGGGTGGAAGAGAAGGGGAGGGAGACACAATACCTTCCATTTTGTCTGAAAAAATTATCTTCAAAATCACGAAGTTTCTTTCGAATCCTTTTCTTTTCTTCTCTCATTTCCTGAAGATGTTCCAAGAGTTCAGGTCTAAGGAGGAAGGCACATTTCAAGAAAATTAAAGTTAAATATGAATTGTTATTATAAATGTACTGTGTGTGCAATTCAATAGGGGTTATAGAGAAAGAGAGAAAGCAATCAATTCAAAAGCCATTGTAGGTGCTTTCTCTCTCTTGAAAACCCACACTCTGAAAACAGGCTCTGGGCTCTGGGGGAGATCTTGCTACTTATGAATTCTTAGGAGTTGGGAAACTTTACCATGCTTTGTTACAGTTTTCTTTTTGAAAGGGCAAGATGATGCCTGTGCTCATTGTTAAATGAAGAGCTTGGTGGACAAACTCACAGCATCATTTGGAGACCTGCTTGTTCAAGGCAGATCTCAAAAGCTCCTTCAAATAGCATGAGATAAGGCATGAGAGAAAACTCATCCACACGGTTTTGCTTCATGTTTTGGGAGACAAGGTCTCACTCTACAGCTCTAGGCTGACCTGGAACTCGTTACGTAGCCCAGGCTTGCCCAAGACTCACAGCTATTTTCCTTCAGTCTCCTGAGTTGCCAGCATTACTGGTATGAATCACCATGTCTGACTCTTATTTGTTTGCTCTGAGACAGGGTCTCCCTGTAGCCCCAGCTGGGAGACCAGGCTGGCCTCAATCTCACAGAGATCCACCTGTCTTTGCCTCCTGAGTGCTGAGACTAAGGACATGTGTCACCATGCCCGGTGATCCTTTTTTTTTTTTTTTAATCCCTGTTTTCTCTATATACCCAAACCCTAGGTAAGTCATTTGTACTTTTCAGTCAGTTCATCTAAGCAGAAAGGCTAAGCTAACATTTATACATTTATGAATGTTGTTTTCATTAAACCATTTTACCACCACAGCCCAAACAACATACATTGAAGCAGCATGGAGGTTGGAAAGGCCCGAGTCCTGGCTGCACTTTGATGGCATTTTGTCATCCATCGGTGAAATAAACCCATCAGCTTCATCTTCAAGTTGGTCCAGAAAGCACTGTGCAGTGCAGTCTGTTTTCAAGGTGACAGTAAAGTCTGGTTTTGTGCAGCTGTCATCTTCTGAGCCCTCCTCTTCTTCCTGGAGATACACGGCAACCCCAATAAAAATCTGGTCATGTTTTGGGGCATACTTCTATAACAAGTGCCATTCCAAAATCACCCAATTATTCAGAGTCCATTTGGTTTCTCGCTATTGTATTGGAATGAAGGTGCCACTGCAAAGTAAGGAAGGCAGAGCTGGCCAAAGCCAGGTGGCACTTCCTACCTCCCCTGTGCTATGAGTCTTCAATCTCTGCTTGGTCCAAAGATACAGATGCTTCAGTAATAGTCTTTTCCATTTAAATTATTCTAAAACACTTTAAAAACTCTGACAAAACCCGAATTTTTAAATGAATAATGTTAAGGGTGTTTTTTTTTCTTTTTTAAATACTGGAAATAATAGTTCACACCAAAGCCATTTTTATAAGACTTAACTGATGCAACATATGCCAAAACCTGGTGAGGCCCAGGTGGCACTCGGGCAGCACACATCAGTCTTCCTCTTCTCCTCCCTTCCCTGGGTGAGGAAGGTGATGGAGAACAGACCCAAGGCTCACGGGCATCAGAGCTGGGGCCTGTCTGCACACTGCTCTCCCAGAGCCTGGCAAAGACTGCATGGAACATGTGCTCAGTACATGTCTGGTAAACAGTCTGGCATTCAGTCTTAAAAGAGAGCTAGGAATGAGACTTTTACAGCCTGAAACAGACACCAAGTGAAGCTACAAATAAGAATGGAAAACCTAGACACCTGATTTCATTTTTTCAAAGTCCTACTAATTATACTCCAAAGTCCAGAGAAAATCTGAAGCACTCTGATATTTTTTCCAGATGAACGTAACAAAACTACTCTGAGTAGCCTTAAAAAATCATGGGAAACATGAAATACCAAAAATGGATGTTGAAATCTATATAAATGGTAGATTTTGTGTATATCTGAAAAATAATGCATAGATAGCATATGGGCAGTTGGGAAAGAACCAGTGATCAGTTCATCAGCACTGGTTCCTTTAAAACAAACCAAACGAACCAGTTTTCCCTTTTTGATGGGACTCATGGACTATCTGTATTTTGATAAAGGTGAGCAGCCCTACCAAAGGAAAGCTGATGGCCCTGAGTTTGGCCATGATAAAACAATGGTGATGTGAACCTGGAGGAAAAATTCCATCAGGCTCTTCTCCTGAAACCACCTTAGTCAATAATTACCAGTCACCTAGATAATGCTATGAAAGGTACCATGTACCGATGGAGTAAACAGGGATGTCTGGTTTGCCGGAATACAGAATCTACATTTAATCTATTTCACAAGGCTGGAATAAAAGTATAAAAAGTAATTGAAAAAGTTGAAGATCCTCTAAGTATGTTAGGAAAAAGCAAAGCTGGTACATGGCAAAGAGTCCTCCGAAAGCAGCCAGGGATCGATCTCATGATCCACAGTGAGGTGTGAGTCTGCAGTGGGGCAGGTCACACACAGGCCAGTCTCAGTGAGGTGGTTTTTGTCTCCTAGACATCTGCAATATCTAGAGACATTAATGGCTGTTACAGCTAGGGAGGAGGTGGTGGTGACAAGTGGGTGGCAGGCAGCCAGGGGTGCTGAGAAACATCCCTATAGCAGTTACCTCAGCCTAATAGGGTGAGTGAGGGCTGAGAACCCATGAGAGTCTAATAGTAATAATAATGATGCATAGATGATGTATGAACAGTTGGGAAAGAACCAGTGATCACCTCACCAGCACCGGCTCCTTTAAAATAAACCGAACAAAGCAGTTTTCCTTTTTTGATGGGATTGAAGGGATATCTGTATTTTGAGGTGAGTGGTCTACCAAAGGAAAGCTGATGGCCCACATTAGGCTGACAGTCTCACAGGTAAGGACTTGGAATACTGAAAGGGCCTCAGCTACCCAGGTAAAGTTAGGACTGGTTCTTGGTCCACTATCCTGGCTAAGCCGTATATAGAATAAAACCAGTTCCAGGTATCAGTTTAGGAGGTACTTGGATAAGCTAGTGTATGTGTTTACAGCAGGCTGCTGAAGGACCTGGAACCCACATTACATATGGAGCTGGGAGAGCTGGGAGAAGATTTCCACAGGATACAGTGGGAGGGACAGGGCAGGTGATAGGATATGCTCTCAAGGGACCAAGTCATATGGTATTCTGTATTCTTCCAGAGGGAAAAGCCAAGTGTATGCATAGGATGTAATAAGATAAACTATCTACAAAATTGGCAATTTTTACTGTGATATTTTACATTTATCAAACTTAATGCTCTAAAATCACATTATGTAATTATATTCTATTTTTTTCATTAAAGCTAGTTATAAAACTGGGAAGGCTTTAGCTGTTTTTGATATCTAACCCATATAATCTACTGCCTCGCCTTACCACTGTTCTGAGAGTTTCAGTCCTGAGGACAGATTCCCTTCACAGGCACAGGCTATTCAATAAGAGATGTTTTAGAGGATTTCTTGTAGTGGACAGGAGAACTGACTAGGCTTATTATGGGCTGGAAGGTCTTTAGGATCTTCCGAATTTGAGCTGGCTTTATTTCATACATAGATGATTCCTTCCCCAAAGCAATTAAAACCTGGGAAAGACTTTAAAGAAACCACTTCTACCCAGTCTCCTTATCTCCAAACACATCAAATTGTTAATTGTATTAGGATTGCCAAGAATTAGCACAGTTCAAGTACATGTTAATAACCCTGTCTAATTAGAACAAAATGAACCAAAAGACAGCATTGTTTACAAAAGCAATTATTAACCATTGCAAAATCATTTGAAATTCTGATCATGATGTGAGGCAGTAGGCAACAAGATATGGCTAGAATATTCTTATGGAAAAAAAAAAACAAGTTAAAGGGAAAGAACAGGAAGGGCATCCTTCAAGAAGAACATCATTATGGTGCTTCCATTCATCTAATGAGGCAATTATTATATTGTCATATTTTGGATGTGTTCATGAATACGTTTTTATCTAGTAATAACTCCATTATATGCTGCTGAGAAGTATGCTAATTTTCATACATACAACTGTCCAAATTTCTTCAATTACTCTGTTCCAATTCTTCTGTGAAACTACCAGATAGTTTGTCGCCTTTCATTAACATCAAAGCTTATTGTAAGAAAATGGCGGTAATTTTTGAGATCCATTGTAGTACGCCAGCCCAGATTTCCTGGTATCATGCTCATAATCCAAATTCTATTTACTAACGTGAATAGTGAGCACAGTCTCTCTAATACGTTAAAATTGGGCATTGTAGTGTGGGGTATCTTATCTCAGGCAAGAAAAAAGTTTTCAATTGGTGTCCCTCAATACATTATTCTGAGGTAATCATTCCTAACCACAGGAAATAAATGAGTACCCTCAGCTTGGAATGTCATGGAAATATGACAGGTGGAGCTCTTAGAACTCACTTCTGGGTTGGGCTTAATTTTTCTCTTTGGATCTAGACAACTCTTAAAAAGTAATCCTGATTTTTAACAATAACAACAACAAAACACATCTCTCATTTTGCATCTCTGGACTCCTGTGTAAGCCAGCCAGATTTTCAAAGTTGTTTGGAAACCAAAACATGAAAGACCCCAATCCTGCAGCAGGCCATCTAGGGTCCACAGAGACACACAGGCCCACAGCATGGACAATCCCTCCTATTCTGGTGCAGAAAGACCAGAGGACCAAGGTTATCCCTACAAAATCCCAACTGCTACTAAAACAGATCAGAGTGTAAGCACTAGTGGCTGCTGATCAAAGCACTGTGTATAGCAGACTGGGAAACTGTCTTGAGGGACAAACAAACTAGGATGGGCACAGAACAGGGGTGTGCGTCAAACTGTACCTACCAATTTGTCAAATCAACTCTGGGACTTGTCTGTAGAGGTGTAAGTTTTCATCTTATCCAGTACATACTGCCTTTAACTGTGTTTTTTCCATTAATTCAGTTGCAAGTTAAAAGTACGTCCAGGGAGCTCTTTAAGATTTTAAAGATTTTGAAATACAGAAAAATCACAAAACAAAACAAAACAAAAAAATAAGATAGAAAACAGAACATCCCCAAGAGCAAAGTAAAGAGGAAACAAAAAAGCAGGTAAGAAATAAGAAATGAGGGGAAAGAAATGAAACTTAGAGAATCTCTAGGCTATAACACAAGAGCTATTCACAGCTGGCTCGTGCAACTACTGATTTGGAGGGAAAAGCTAGAGAAGCCAACACCCCAGGCACAATCACACCCCTGTCAGCAGGGCGGGGTCAGCAGCTAAAGCTCTTCACCTTTATCTCCTTGAAGAAGGAAGCAGTTTCACCCTCGATAATTGGCTGCAGCAAAGGGCTTCTCCGCTTGCTGGAGGGGGAACCCTGCGACAGGTGTTAACAAGTAGGTTATATTATGAACCCCTTTTCCTTTCCCTCCAGCTCTTGGCTTCTTCTGATCACACCAGGTATTTAGTATTTCTTTTAACTATGTTTTATAACCCTTTCCCACATAAAGCTCCCAAGAAAACCTAATGCATTCAAAGCTCTTTTCCAAGTTGGTACTTCCCTGCAGAGCCCACACATACAAATCAGGAGACATAAACGGTGGAGAAGGAATGCACAAAGCTGTGTTAACCAAACCCTCAGGGATATTCTAAGGACAGGCACCTGTCCCCACACCCTCCTCCCCAGTCACATTAACTACAGAAAACTTGGCAGTAATGATCTAAGGGCTGTAACTCAAGCTCAAAAAAGCAATGGGAAGGTTATCTAACTTCTGTTACACATTCACCCTGTTTCAGGGGTCCTAAGGGTTCCTAACTAGTGAAAAACAATGACTCCTTGGATTAAATGGTTTTATCTATGTTTCTTCTGCAGTGAATTTGCTGAAGAGTAACTTTCTTCCAATACATCTGCCTGAAGTCTCTGGATCCTCCTCATTCATAGAAACAAGTACACTATTAAAAGAAATACACAGAACATACCCTGGGCCTACAAATGACCCAGAAGACTTAAGGAAGGGCTAGATAAGAGCAACAGCTAAAGAGACTATGCATGTCAGTGGCAACATCAAAGTGAGGTTTATGACAGCAGAAGGGACAAAGGCACTGAATCAGGCAATGCTGTTCCCAGAGATGAAATAACACCCAGAACCTGCCAGTCTTGAGCCTGCCAGCACAGAGAGACTTCCACAGCCAGAGACAAGCGGCCGCTTCCCTTGACAAATCAAATCCAGGTGCTAAAGGCAGCTACATCCCAGAATGGTGGCCAGGAAGGCAATTTCACTTCCTCTCTATCCCCACAGCTTCCAAGATGAGGAGCCTCCCACTGGAGGTCTTCAGGGGGTCCTACTACCAAGAAAGCATCCCTCTAGTGGATGAGGAGACATTGCCAATAGACTTGGAACCAGAGACGTGCTCCCTGTAGTGAAGAGCCTGCAGAATGCTTAGCCCCTGGCCCCTCATGCTCTGTCTCTAAGGAATAGGTTGGGGTGTTGGTCTGGTGCATGCCAAAGGATGCACACAGTCAAGTCATTTCTCAGGCTTGTGGGGCATGGATTCAACTATCAAAGCCTGATCTTCAATGAGAACACACATTAGGGCCCTATTAACATAGCCAGGGCTCATCTAAATAGAAAGGGAAGAATTATACTCACAATGATGGGTATGGTACTGACTCGGGCCAGAATCTGTTTGACTAGCCGGTACCTATCATACAAAGGCTTCATAATCTGACGTTCAGTCTTTGTCACCTGTAAAGTAAGAACAAGGTAGTGAGAAGCTCACTCCCAGCATACTGCCAGCATACTATGGGCCTTTGTGGTTCAGGAGCAAATACAGATGATACAACGTATAAAACTTATTTAAACTGATGTAATAGAGTTAATACATAAAATATCTCTTTATGCTGTAGATCAGTGGCCGCCACTCCACCAGTAGTACTGTTTTTTCTAGATCTAAACATTTTTTAGCATTTTATTTATTATTTTTAGTTTTTGTGTGTATGAGTGTATTGCCTGCATGTGCTTAAGTGCACCTATGTAGTACAGTGCCTGCAGAGGTTAGAAGAGGGTGTTGGATTCCTCTGGAACTGGAGTTATAGACAGTTGTTAGCCACCATGTGGTTGCTGGACATCAAACCTGGGTCCTCTGCAAGTGTAGCCAGTGCTTTTAACCACTGAGCTATTTCTCCATTGCCATAAACATTTTCTTTAAATAGTGTTGTGGATTGAATTCAGGGCCTGACACATGTTGGCCAAGTACTCTAGTACTGTGTCACAGCCATGCCCACTATAATTCTAAAACCTCTGCTTAAAACTCCTCAAGGCACTGTGAGGTGAGATGACTCAGTAGGTAAAGGTTCTTGCTGCCAAGCCTGATGACCTGATTATGATCTCTGGGAATATGGTAGAAGGAGAGAACCGACTCCCTTAAGCTGTTCTCTGACCTCCACATGCTGAAGCATGTGCCTCCTGACCCATAATAAATAAATGTAAAAAATTCCCTCCCAACTCCTTAAGGTTTAAAGTCCCCAAACAGCTTATTTTTTTATGGGGGAGTCCAAGGAAGAAGAAAGCAAGTATTTCTATTATAATGCTTATCCCATGGTACTGTAATCAACTTATTTTGTAAGCCTTTCTTCCCCACAAAATTGTTCCCTCTTAAAAATAAGATTCTGGCCAGGAGTGGTGGCATATGCCTTTAATCCCAGCACTCAGGAGGCAGAGGCAGGTGGATCTCTGTGAGATCAAGGCCAGCCTCCTCTACATATTGAGTTCAAGGCCAGCTTGGGCTACAAGAGACCCTGTCTCAAAAAAACATCAAAAATTAAAACAGAAAGCAAAAATAAGATTCTGGCAGATAGTAGGTATTCAAGGAACATTTCCTGCTGGAATCAATCATGTGATTCATCCTTGTTTCCCTGAAATCTGGCACACGGCTCAAAAATGTTTAGAAGCCGGAATCCCTATGCAGTTCCAGTCCAGTTCCTTGGAAAGGGTTTGAAATCCTTCATCGTTTGTGACTTTTCCCCTCTATTCTATACCTCAAGCTCTAGAACAGACTAGACCACCTTGTTCCTCACCCTAATTCCCTCTGTCTTGAAGTAGCTTTCTCTTTGCTCCTATTTGGCAAGCTGTAGATCAGAGGCCAACTCTCTGTACCCCATTCTGGGAGACTGATCCTTTCCTCCTCATCACCACCCCATCTTATGGGATCTGTTGTAACTTCACACATACTGTTATATTCTATCATAAATGTTCACACATCTGTCTCTTTTGGACACTAACCCCTGGTGTGCAGGGGTTATGTTTTCAAGTCCTGAGTAACTTTTCGCATCTCATGTAATGGAAAGATTATGTAAATATGTACGTATGATTCATACATACGTGGGGTGTTGGCGAATGAGCATTTCAAACCTAAATTTGTATGCCCAACTGATAGGTGTGCATGCCTTTCCTCTGGTTAGCTCAATGGAGAATGAGGAAAAGTATCTTCTTTGAGTCAGCTGCTGAGCTTCTGTTTTCTATTACTAAAGCAAGAGTTGTACAGACACGGAAGGGATATGGATTCAGCTTTTCCACTTCTCTTATGGGTTTCAACCTCAAAGATAGTTCTGGATTATGTACAATTGGTTATTCTATGTGGCCTTTTGAATCTGCCTTTCTCAACATGATCAACATTGTAAGTGCACTTTGGATAAACTTCACAAGCTAAGATAGGGTATTGCAAAACCTTGTGGATTTTCTGTTGTTAGCAACAATAACAACTTTCCTTTCATGCTCATTACCACAGTTTTAAGGGGAGCTGGCATGTATCTGCTTCTAGAATCTGCCATATCAGTCACTTCATTACAAAATGACAGCATTTTTCACATGTCAAGATGGCATGGTAACTCAAATTATTTTATATGAAATCCAGATGTTATTACTGTCGCTACCAAACACATATCATAAGAGCTAACACGCAAAGACAGGGTCAAGTATTGGTAAGAAGGCTGAACAGCTGGAACTCTGTGGCTGTTGGTAAGGCAAGGACATCCTGGAGAACCATTTGACATGTGGTGAAACATATGACTCAGTTGTCAGACATACCAAACAATTTGGCCGTGGAAGTTCTCCCTGCCTCGCTTTCCTGATGGTAAGGTGTAGAATTCAGGCTAGAAAATCTGATGATTCCTAATTGTTTGAAAATGACTTTATGCCAAACATGTAGTGTGCTATCTCTTCAAAATTCTTTCACTCCTCTTTCAAAACTTTAGTTTACATTTAAGTGGTGATGCTGATGGCTTTCCACTGTGTAATCGTTCCCAGTGTGTTATTATTAAAAATACATTTCTGAATACAAATCAAAATACCCTCGACATGAAATATGAAGATATGGGACCAGGCAGCACTTCCACTCTGTCTTCACTTGTGACTATAACTAGAGGCAAGTCCTGAACAGAAATCATAAAGCCCTTATTAGATAGCCCCATGTACCTGCCTTTATCTTTAGTGAGGGTTTTCTCTTAGCTTCAGATAAAACTTTCCTGTATCATTGTTGAAGTTATCAAGACAGACACATAAAAGTCAAGTCAGTGCATTATCACTCTGACAATAAAGATACAATTAGAACCATAGAATCTTAGAGCTAGGAAAATCTTACTTTGTAGATGATAAAACTAAGCACATAGGGAAATGATTTGCTAAGACAAGGGAGCTCAAACAATAGCCCAACATGCTGACTCCCTGCCCAGGTTTCCTTCTAGTTATAAATACATCAGACCTGGTAAAGCAGGATCCTAGCAGTATGATGATAGGTTCTTAATAGCTGCTGCATTCAGGGCCCATTCATTTAGAAAATGGTAACTCTTTCATAAGTTAAGAATAGTAGGATGTTTGTATGATGATCAGAAAATCTAAAACAACAGGTAACCAAAGGATTTGGTTAGCATTTATATGTAGATATGGAATTTAAATGCTAACTTGGCTATACCCAATGTTGTGTTAGCCCCTATTGTTTTGAAACAGAGAATTAAAATATACCAGGGAGGAAAAGAATCAAGAAGAACCAGGAAGCACTGGTCAAGCAACCTGTTCCCTCCCCCTGTCCATTTATTATAAAAGTAAGGTTATATGCAAAGGGTAACATGGTGAGCTTCAATTATTCCTTGTATTTTTCTGTGATGTGATCTTTTGAGGACAATGAACATTCTTGTTGAAAACAACACACTTCAATAATAACCCATAGGGAAGGATGAGCCCACAGGTATTTTTGTTTTTCACATGTATCCATCTATAGCACACTTAGTTAAAGCAAACAGCTTTGCAGGGACTGAGCAGCAAATGGCTGTTTCGGCTGTGGTTGTGATGGTCAGTGTCCTGTTAAATCAGAATCTGTAGACTTAACAAAACTCATGAGTTCTAAGCATCTACTTTAAAATAGTGGGACCTGGAGTGATGGTTTAGCTTTGGAAATACATGTGTATTCATCTAAGAGTATTTATGGTCTAGGGTTAATGATAACACAGACCAAAGAATTAAAAGTTTACTTTGATTTTCAGGCTGACCATATATCAAGGGAATCTTGGTTAGAGTATTGTGTTCTAGAGAGAGAGCTAAAGACAGTGCTAAAGACCAGAGATAAAAGACACTAATATTTTCTTGACTATTTGTTCCCTGCCCTGTGAGATACTTGAATCTAGATCCATCTGAAAAGAAATAAGGCAAGACTTATCTGTGACAACTAATCTTGGCTGTAACTTGACACATCTGGGAAGAAGGAACCTTAATTGAAGAATTTCCCCTTTAACAAGATGAAACCCATATCTTAGCACTGTTATCAGGGCCAAGAATCTGAGACTAGATGGGTCATTAGTTTTAGGGGAAAACCTACTACTATTATTCTGTTAAATAGACATAGTATTAAACTGACTCCTAATGACTTATCTCTATACCCATATATGAATGTACCTGTCAATCCTCATCAAAGACCCCTCTTCTGACAATAGTGGTCAATGTGCAGAGAATAAGAGACTGTGAGTGCTCAGCCCTAAATGGGACACCTACATCACACCTTCTCCTTCCAAGGCTCAGGGATCATTACAGAAGAGGGGGCAGAAGGGATGGAAGAGCCAGAGGCAGTGCATGACACAAGGAAACTGCTTTTCAGATACAACAGGGCAGATGCACATATCAACTCAGAGCTGTTGTGACAGCATGCACAAGACCTGATCATGCTTAAGCCAGACAAAATTCCAGCATGGAGAGGAGAGGTAGACAAGATGTCCCAAGCCTAGCTGACGTGCTATTGGCAACTGATGGTTTCTGGGCTAGGGAGAGTCAGTCTTCTTTAAGAGTGTAGCTCCTGGTAGTTTGATCACACTCCTGTTGATGGCCACACACCCAAGAGTATATGGACAGCACAAGTTGGACTCAATTTTTTTTAAAAAAAGAAGACAATTTTGGGTGGGTAGGGATCAAGGTGGTAGACCTTGGAGGAGTTTGGGAAGGGATATACTGTTTGAAATCTCAAAAAACTAATAAAAAAAAACTTAAAAAAAAAAAAAGATAGGTAGCTAAATGTGAGCCTGGGAGCAAACAAGTAAGCAGCATTCCTCCATGGTCTCTGCTTCAGCTCCTGCCTCCATGTTCCTGCCCTGACTTCCCTCAGTGATGAACTGTGACCTGGACATATAAGCTGAAATAAACCCTTTCTTTTCCAAGTTGTTTTTGGTCATGGTGTTTATCACAGAGAAGCAAGCCAGAACATAGACCAAGAATGAACATTTCATATTCCTAATGACCAAAGGACAAAAAAGTAGACTTTTAGCCTCAGCTTAATGATTTAATCTGGGGGCTGAAGTGGAACACAGAGCTGTGACCAGTGAGAACTGTTGCCTGCTGTGCAGCCTGTGCCACTGTTTCACCTCCTTGTTTTCATCTTACGGGTAAATATCTGTGAGACATCTGTGTCTGTCATTGCATTTCTCTTCCTGACAACCCATAGCAGGAATGTATCAACCAAGTACCAAGGGTCCAAGGGGTTACTTCTGTAGTTCCTGGTCTCTGCTAGGCTGAATGCCTGAAGACTCACAGTGCCTGCACCATAGAATGAGTTCCATGTAGAATAAGACTATGCCCAACGTGGAATGCTCCAGCACACAAACCAGAGAACCGGCAACAAGGGTCTGTCCATCTAGGATCCAGCTGTGTGCTCTTGCAGGTGGGAGGCACAGGAAGCCTTGGAAGGCGTCTATTAATCTTCCAACACGAATCATGCAAGGGAAAGAGCTATTCAAGCAGGAAAAAGGTGTCCCTGAAGCTTCCAGATGGCCATGAGCGCCATACTTAGGGTTTGGGGCCTTTGTGGAAAGAGGCGCTCCTCTATTCATGGAATGTCAGCTCTACATCTGCCAGTCCTGAATACTCCAGGAGAGAAGGACAAAGTTTCACAATAGTTGAACTCTGGAGTGTTTAGTGTTTGGTTTGATGCCTTTTAAAAATCTGAAGTGAAACTTGGCCGAAACATGCACATTATCCCAGAGTTCTAGTATTTTTCCACTGCAGAGACAGGCCAGCAAAAATTAACCATCAGTGCCAGCACTGAAAAAATTCATTAAATCTGATACATTGAGAACTAAAATGCAATGCAGCATGCCTTCTGCAGACATTCACTAGGCTCCTGCCATGTGGAGGGTCTCGAGCCTCATGCTGAGGGATAAGTGAACTATTAAGTGAACAGTGCCCAGAATCCTCATTCTCATAAACCTCAACACTGGAGGGATAGCTTAGTGGTAGAGCACTTGCCTAGTCCCTCAAGAACCTGGGTTCAATCCTTAACCCTGCTTTTTAAAGAAGAGTTTAGTATGTCATTCTGGAAGCCTCTTTATTTTGAAGAGCACCATTTAGATGAAAAGATTAAATCCATTCAATTTATAGTTATAACACACTGGAACGGCCCTGTGTTTGGGGGCTACATGGAAAAAATCTCTCTGTAGATCTAAACTTCATTTCCTTACACCTGCCTATTGGCATTGTTTGGGGTGGGGGTGGGGGGGGGCTTCTTTCCTGATAGTATTCTGAATAGATTATTAAGAGTAAGAGATAAAAGAATGCCTGATTATAAGTTCTTCAAGGATGGCCGAGGGCAGAAGCCCATCTCACTACTGTCTCCCCTGCAGCTATCAAGAAACACTCAACACATAGGTTGCTGAGTGACAAACCACCTCAGATGCTTTCTGTTGTGGTGAAAAGGCAAAGCCATACTTTGGATTTTTGGATGCCTCATATCCTGGGTTCTTTTTTTTTTTTTTTTTTTTTTTTTTTTTTTTTGGTCTTTTTGAGACAGGGTCTCCCAGTAGCCCCAGCTGGCTTGGAACTCACTATGTAGACCAGGCTGCCCTCAAACTCACAGAGCTCTGCCTGCCTCTGCCTCCCAAGTGCTGGGATTAAAGGTGTGTGCCACCACTTATAGCTGGGTTCTAAACACAGCTGAAAGTCCTTTATCATATAATCAGTGGCCATGACTGTGTTGCAGAGCAACTTTTTTTTTTTTTTTTTCTTTTTTTTTGGCCTTTTGAGGCAGGGTCTCCCTGTAGTCCCATCTGGCCTGGAACTCACTGGGTAGACCAGGCTGTTCTCCATCTTACAGAGATCTGCCTGTCTCTGGAGTTCTGGGATTAAAAGTGTGTGCTGCCACACCCAGTCAGAGTATTTTAAGATGCATCATTGAAACTTAGTTCCTTTAAGGTTGTGAAAGTGAAGAGTCAGTTGCAGCTTATGGGGCAGACCTGGGCAGGACGTCTGCTCACTCTTGACTTTTGTGCACAATATCCTCACTCCCCCATCCTTCGCCTTTCTTGCTCTTGAGCAGAACACCAGCAACTTACGTTTAGTTGTGAACTAATTTTCTTTGGAATTCAATTAAAGTTCAATGTCTACTATGTAACAGAACTCAATTGGCTAAGCCTTCAAAACACTAAGATACAATATGAGTAAACAGTGAGCTTCCTTTCCTCTACAAGGAAAGAAAGCAGATATTAGGGGTCCTATTTCCTAGAGGCTAAATTATAGAAAACCTGTTTCCAAAGCTAGATAATTGACCCCAATTAGAAAGCTGAGTGCACCACATACCGGCCGCCCATGGATGCTTTCGTAGTAGAGCAGTGCTTTTTGCAGGGCCACCTTCTCATTAGCAATCTGGTCTTTGGTCATATCCTGTATAAACACAGGGATAAGAAATGAAACATGAGGAAAACATTTGTGAACATTCCAACTTCTTTATTTAGTCAAGCTAATCTAAGGGAAGGTTTGAAATGCTCTTTCCAAAGTTCACTTAGGAATGAGCTCCTCCCTTCCCCCTTCCCCCCACCAGAAACACAGACCACAGCACCACTGTCATCAGCTGCCTGGAACTCCCATTGGCAGCAAAGGCATACTGAAGTGGTGAACTGGGTAATGGTCTGAGCGATGACTGCGCTTACAGGCTCCAGAGTCCTAAGGGCTTGTCTATGATCCTTCTACCTCAGAGAGTCACCAAATCATCTATTAAGATTAATAAGTTCATTCTGCAATAGAGTAAACTGAGCTGCCTGCTTTCAATCTGCAGACAGGAAACAAGTACCCACAAATAAAACACTGCAGCTTTTCATCTGCTTCTCTACATTTGTGGGAAGTTTAAAGAGGGATCATTGTGCTTGTGGGGATTCCTGTGGCATGCCCTGGCACCTGCCCCTTGTCCCCCAGCCCCTTCGTCCTGGGCTTAATGTTGCAATGTCAGGGAACAGCACGGGAGTGTGTCTCTTGGCTGAAAAGTGAGCTGAACAGAAGCTAGGTGTGGCCAGGTATTCACATGAATCATGTATGCCTGGTATTTCCACTGTGCTGGTCACATTGGCAGGTCACTCAGGCCCTCCAACAGGGTCATCACACCTTAATGTCCTCGGGGCGGCTGCATTCTGCTCGCTTCTCCCGAAGCTTCCTCTGGATACATTCCAGGGTGGCCTCAGCACTGGGCCTGATTGCTTTATCTACCAGCTCCTGCTTCTCTTCTTCTTTTTCTAGTTGGGAACCAAAACTCTTGGGTAGTGTGTTGCTTCGCTGTCGTGTTCTGGGGGTGAGGTCCTCTTCAGAGATCTTTAGTTTTGACTCTATGTGAGACGTGAGGGTAGAATTAGATGAGAACTGAGATCTGCTAAACCCAAACTGCTTTACCCATATGTCAATAACTGCCTGCTCATGTCTTTTTCTAGGGAGTACCTAATTATAATGTCAGTATAAATCCCAGGGTCATTATGTCAAACCCAATACACTAAAGAATCTTCCTGGATCTTTGGGAATGTTTCTCAGACTCTAAATCATTAGGAAGTGCTAGCTTGTTAATACCTGTGTTTGGCTGAATAGGTTTGGTTCTGTTGTTAGAAAGGGGTAGAAGCTTTCATTCCTTTAGTGTATAAACTTGCATACTGATGCCTGGCATGGTAGTATGTGCCTTTAATCCCAGCACTTGGGAGGCAGAGACAAGTGGACCTCTGTGAAATTGAGTCCAGCCTGGTGAGTTCCAGGCCTGCTGGGGCTACAGGGAAACCCTATTTCAAAAAAACCAAAAAAGAATACATATACATATTCTTTTTCTGTAACAAGAACAGGAGGAGACCGTATAAATATTTCAAGTTTTATTTTTCAGTTTATGCACATCAGAGTGCATTTGTGGCATAGAGAACTATGACAAATTCCGCCAGGCAAGCAGGAGAGCACCAGGCTGAGGAAAATAGCTCAGTGGATAAAGCCCTTGCCTCCCAAGCTTGAGGGCTAGAGTTCAGATCCTAGAACCCACACAGAAGGTGAGCGAGTGTGAATGTGGTGGCCTCCCCGTAATTCCAGCACTCAGGAGAAACCGAGGATCCCTGGACAACCTGGAGGGGCAGCCTAGCCTCGAACCAATGAGTTCTAGGATCAAAGAGAAATCCGCTTCAATAAATAAAGTGGAGCCAACTTAGGTCCTCCACAGATACAGGCACATACATGCGTGCCCACACACCTGAAAACATTTATATACCAGCAACACACACACACACACACACACACACACATACTGACCTGATACCGACTAGCCATCTTTTCTCATCTGATTTATATACCCCATCTTTATTTGACTTAGTTCCTTCCATGACTATCTCCTAAATACAGCAAGCTGTCTCAGTGAAAGAGGCCTAACCCTTTTCTGATTCATCTTTATGATGACACGTCTTCTAACACTTCAGCAAATAAAACTTTGGATTTAACATGGGCTTATGAAGTGCTGACATGAATTCATCCTCCTACGAGTAATAATGTGGAGATGAAGAGATGTTGAGCAATTCTTAGCCTGTCTGGTTGTCTTGTGACTTTGGCAAGACTTGGGAAGTTGTGCCCATGAAGAACTAGGGGTACCTGGAAGCGTCTTCAGGGGCTGGGGCACCTCAATGGTGGAAAGTGTCCCCCCTGAAGAACTGGGGGTACTGGGAAGCATCTGTAGGGTCTGGGGCACCTCAGTGCTGACACTAAGCAGGATCCAAAGGGTTGGGCTTGGCCTGTGGCTGTTGCACAGAGGCTACACCATAATCTGAAACTTCACCAACCTTTAAGCTGTTTCCGGAATTTTGCCAGGTCATTAGTCCACTTCAGAACCTCTGGATTGGCTGCTTTGTCACTGTGGGATGGCTGAGAAAAAGTCTAGTATAAGTCTTTTGAAAGGGGGCAGTATATGGAGACACCTTCATCTTAAATAGAAAGGCAAAGTTAATTCATCAGGGCAGATTCACAAGTGTAGCCCTGTACTCTTTCTCTAACTGGTTGGTTCCAATGCTTCCACACATTCCCTTAGGGGCAAAATGTTGGATCTTTATGGCTATGGACTCCTGTGAGGTCAGTGTCTCCTGAGAGGCTAATGGAGCAGAAAATAGAGGCCTTTATGGTGTTTATACTGTAACCACTGTGAAAAATGCCCTTTTTAGCCAGGCATAGTGGCACATGCCTTTAATCCCAGCACTCTGTGAGACTGAGGCCAGCCTGATGTACATATCAAGTTCCAGGTCAGCTGGGGCTACAGAAAAACCCTGTCTAAAAAAGACCAAAAATAAAAAGTGCCCTTTTGCCCCTGCATGGGAAACTAAGGCAGACGGACAATGAAAGGATCCCAGCACGAAGGAAATTTTAGATCTCAAATTAAGTTCTAGCTCAACAAATGAAATCCCCCTTAACTTTGGTCAGCTCCTTATCCTCCCTATGCTGCTGAGGTGGCAGGGTGAGAAGACCCTCGGGAACTCACTTTGTATTTCCTCTCCTCTTCAAACCTGTCCTCAAACTTCCGGATCTTCTTTTTAAGGGTCTGGATCCTTCGAGTGAGCTGCACAGGAGTCAGATCCTCTTGCTCATCATCATAGGACCCTAGAGAGGAGCTCCGTCGCCTGCAAGGAACAAGGCCCGGGTGAGCTGCCCCACAAGCAGCCGCTGACTGCGGGGAGGGACTTTGGGGATTTGAGATGTGTGTGGCACAGGGTCAAAACAGCCTCTGTCCTTCTGATAAGGCCAAGTTGATCAGTACATTTTCTGACTTTGAGCTCTGCGTGTCTCACCTATACATGGGTCTAACCTTCTCTCACTCACATTGATGTTATCGCTAGTAGTCTGAAATTGTGTTTGCAGCCTCTGCACCTTTGCAGCTCCCAACACCGGACCGGCCTCATGCTCGCAGAGCAGAGAACTTCTTAAAATTCCACCAAGAAGGGAAACAATTCATTCTAAAAAATTTTTTTTTCTTCTTCCTGTTATCACTAGATCTGAAGATATTGTTATTTTTCCCCCCCATGGCGTCAAAAGTACCTAAGTGTATATGGTTGTGAGTAGAAGTATAGGGAACATAAATCAGTTGTTGGCAGTTTTTCCATTTTGTGTGTGTGTGTGAATTTTTAATATAAATGCAGCATGTAAAGCATTAATGCAAGTCAAAATGTTTCAATGAACTAGTTTCAACAGTTCAACTTTATAACAATTATAAATAAACCTGTTAAATTTTTCTGGGCAATGCCAGCATTTGGATTTTTTAAAAAATAAGTAAATTTACTGGGGCTGGAGAGATGGCTCAGCGGTTAAGAGCAATGAGTGCTCTTGCAGAAGAGCTGGGTTCAATTCCCAGCACCTCTTGGGGAACCCTGCTGCTAGGGTTGTAGTCCTCCATGTCCGGATAGCTCTAAGGGGCTCGGCGGCGCTATATGGAAGGACTCCCCTTCTCAGCAGGGGGCCTCCTGCTCTCTTCCTGACTTACCTGGAAAGTGCCACCAAGCACGGATGCCTGACCTTATTTGGAACATGACCTTTGGCATAGTTACCTGGAGTAAAAACTACCCCCAGGTTTTTTCTATATGATAATCAGGCATTGCCGGGATAGTCGGATGTTAGGAGCCCACTGCCACATGTAAATAAAGCATACTATGAGCACCTACCAGCTGAAGCACTGGCTACTGCCTCCATGCTATATTTTCCCTAACCCCCACTAAATAAACGGAGCTGTTTCACTGAGTCTGGAGCTGTTTGCATCATTGAACCTGCCTCCCCCGGAAGGGCTTTCTTCCGTCAGTGCTCACTGGCCATCTAACCCTGTTTGTCGTTCGTTGCAGAAGCTTCTGCTCCCTTTGTCCTCGTGGAACGGTGGCCGACGACCCACGAGGAGAGGGAGCGATCCCACAAGCACCCACATGGCGACTACAAACTGTCCTTAACTCCAGGGGAATCCGAAGCCCTCTTCTGACCTCCGTGGCATTGCACAACATGGGTGCACTCACATACATGCAGATAATACACTCATACACATAAAAAAAATAATAAATAAAAAATATTTTAAAAAATAATAAAAAATAAGTAAATTTCTTACTGACAGCTAACTAAATGGTGTTTGTAGCCATTTTATCATATGGTAGATTCTGCCCATTCACTGTTCTTTTCTGAGTTGTCGCCACATACAAGTATGTGTCTTTAGTGCTGTCTGTCTTCTGGGCAGTTTCTGTAAGTTTGCTATTAAAATACATTAAACTATAAAAAAAGATCTGAAATTGAAACTGACCACAAACCCAATTGCTGAATATGATTTGGAAGGAGGTACTAATTGAAATTGGAAATGAGGTCTGCAACTGGGTTAACAGCTCACCCAGACACTCTACACAGCCTGTGCACTAGGTTGGAGATTGCAGGTGCATCCCTCCACAAACCCTCAACTTAATTTTTACAGAACTGCTATCTATCAGCCATTTTGTCTTTCCTGATATATCAGTAACACAGAACATACCTCATGAAAGAGTGGGAGTTGGGGGGAGAAGGAGGCACTTCCGTGTCATCCAGGTACTGCCTGCTCTGCCCATAGGCATAGAACCGTGGGGAGAGCATGGGGTCACTATCCTCATCCAGCAGTTGGTGGATCAGGCGTCCGGCCTGGGGGGAGAGGCAGGCTTCATCAGAGTTGATAGCCTCTCTCTGCCAGGAAGAGAAGGTGGGAGTGGGTTCTGGAAAACAGTGGTGGGAAGAGGTCAGCACTGTTTTTGAAAGCATCATTTCCCAGGTTTCTTGAATGCTGTGGGTCACTCCCCAAGGAGTGGCTTTGCACTTCAGATCTAAGGTGCAGACTAGGCACTATGTCTAACCCCAGTCACCGCTGAATCTGATGGCCACCACCTGCCATTCATCTCCAGTTTTCAAAATAGAATTTTCTAGGGCTGCCTTGAGCAGCATCCTGGAAGGTGCATATCCAATTGTGTTGACTTCCAATTTTCCCAGCAGGTGCATGATGAGACCCTTTTCATGAAGAGGGATGTTGAAAAGAGCAGCCAGTGTGTCAAGTGGGGTGGCACTTAGCATTATGTCTACGCATCACTGAAACAACTAAGGAGCCACAGGAGACTTGCGGAAGCCTATTTACAGAGGTGCTCCCAACTTGGTTTAGGTCATTTAGTAAGCTTCTTCCTGTGCTTCTACTTAGTGTGTGGGATTAGCATGCTTCTGATGTGTGCTTTGCATTTGTAATTTCAGAAGCTGTTCAAGAGTGCAGCTAGAGGGGAGCACACATAAGTTAGTGAGAAGAGGAAAATAGAATTCCTCATGGAGCACAAACCAGTACACACTATTTTTAGATAATCTGTAAGAAAAATAAATAAATAAAACTTAGCACAAAATCCTGACCTATTGTTTTAGGAGGGAAGAGGGTGATGTTTATTTCTATTATGAGATACTCTTAATATTCTCCTTTCCTTATTAAAAAGAAATGTATATTGAGACAGCAAGATGGCTTAGTAGCTAAAGGGCCTTGTTGCCAAGCCTGATAACCTGAGTTAGATCCCTGGAACACACATGGTAGAAAGAGAGAACAAACTCCTGAAATTATCCTCCACCTATGCACCACGGCACATGTGCATCTACCTCCCACCCCCAACACACACAAAAATTTAAAAGTATAAAAAAAGCTTCAAAAATGATCTCTAAAAGATTTCAATGTAGGTCTCAGATGATACATGGCATTCCATTTGTAATACTCTGCATAAAAATAGCTATGCTTTAAATTCACTTGTTTAGTGATATCCAGAAGCCTAGAACTTGCTATGATCCTAACTTCTAGGATTCCTGGAGTTTGAATCATGGAACAGTTAGTTGCTCCTTTAGCTCTGAAACATTAATATGTGTAAAACCATCTAAAGTATGCATTCAGCCTATTATCTGGAAAAAACAGATTATAATCCTAAAATGTTAGAGCCAGGTTACCTTCATTCTTAGGACCTCTCATCCTTGCTGCATGTTTACAGTAATCTAGGAAAACAAGTAACTGTCAACACACAAGTCCGTAGCCACCCCATATACAGAGTATTTAAGTGAAGGCCCAGATATGATTGACAAACTGACACACATGTACACATATGTACATGTACACACAACAGTGTGCACACAAACCAGTGCACATACACTTAAATTTTTATTATTATTTATTTTTATTTTATGTATATGAGTGTTTCGCCTCTATGTATATAAGTGTACCACACGCATGTAATGCCCACAGAAACCAAAAAAGGGCATTGAATCTCCTGGAACTGGAGTTAAGGACAATTGTAAGTCACCATGTATATGCTGGGAACTGAACCCAGGACTTCTGCAAGAGTAGCCAGTGTCTTAACTGCTGAGCCATCTCTTCAACACTGCACACACACACATCTTTAAAAGTGATTTTCAGGTTTGAGACTACTGGTCCCACCCAGCTGATGGCAGATAAGACAACTAAAATCTTCTTCAAAACACTTTAAGTGTTTTGAGTATGTCTAGACACTTGTCTTCTAAGTCAGTGTTTCTACTTGAGAGTGTGTCAGACCTCAAAAACAGTGATGACCGCCTCAAACTTTGGAGGTTTTCACAGCAAAATAGGGAAGATACACACTTTTAAAAAGTAAGTCATAGGCAATAAGGTACACAGGGCTGCAAAATTTAAAGGACCTCAAGTTATCTGGGAACATGGATAAATATTTTGAAAAATAAGTGTTCAAGAAAAATGTTTTGTCTATTGAGGCTCAAAAAGTGGAGAGTATGTTGGAAAATGCAGGTGACTAAGTCAGGAGACAAATGGGAGGCATGTCCTTTGAACTAACAGGATGGTCTGTCTGGTCAATGGCCGGGTTCAGATCTGGGCAGCTCAGCTCTGCTAATGTAAAGGGATGAGAAAAACATCAAGGAGAGGGCGTCAGCAGAAAGGAATCCCTAGGGGAAATTAGAAATTCAGCGTTAAGTCACAAAAAAATGAAACTGTTAAACTGAGCAGACTGCATGTTCTATTTCTTAAGACAAAAACCAACTGAGCCTGGACAGGGAAAAGGTTAAGATGGCCTGAAGAGTCACGCAGCCTGCAGCAACCCCTCAGCAGCATGGCAAAATGCTTGCCCCTGGCGGGGGGTGGGGGGGGAGCAAGAATCTTTGTGGGGACACAGGGCTTCAGCAAAACAAAGTCTAATGTTGACATTGGCGTGGAAATGTGCTGGTTAGTTTGACATCTCTAATCATCAAGAAAAGGAAAAAAAAAGTTTGAAAAAGGTCTTATCTTTGATTCTGAAGCCCTTAATTTGTCTGAGTTTGAATCTAGCAGAATAGATCTTCTAAAATGGAACCACTAATCTTTGAATTTTCAACCATTTGGTCTCTTGATACATTGAAATCATGAATTCATTATAAAATATTAATCACAGATGAATGATGATTGATACTTGGTAGCTAACCTGGGTCATCTATCAGTTTCCCTGCTTAACACTGCTGTATTTTGTGGCCCCGTTCTGGGCCGATCATTTCCATGACAAAACAAATGTGTCCTTTTCCTAGTGTCACTAGCTAAGGGAACCCTAACATTTTTTTACTGAAGTATATAGGTAAAATATATGGCAAGTGAAGTCTTTATTTTAAAATGAGAAGTGTAAGCTGGGTGTGGTGATGCACGCCTGTAGTCCCAGACATCGAGACTGCTGCTCCCTGCTTGGCTGGCAGGATCCCTTTGTCGAATAAAAGAAAAGTAGTGAATGAAATGACTTACTTCTAAGAAATCTGGACAGAATTAAGGGAGATGTTGTTTACTGTGTTTCCTTTCCAACTATGTTATTTAGAGCCATTAGTACTTGGAATGATATCATGACCCTTTTCAGCTGTGCTGAAAGACCCTTGCACATCCCAGACCCAGGAAGATGTAAACCCCGCTGGAGGAAGACTTTCATCAAGTTTTTTAGTGTTCCAAAATTCAACCTTAGAACAATGGTAGTTTTATGAAATTATCAAAAGTGTCTTGCAAACCACTGGAATTATAAGGAGTCTTTGCAGTCAGCTTTATCAATCCCCAACTTAACCCTTAAATTTCATGTATCTGTTTTGCCTCTATCTGCAAAGTTAAGAAGTGGGTACTAAATAGCTCTGCTTAAATCACTGATAAGTTTGTGGACAGAACAGGGCTGAGGAATCCAACCCATGAGAACAATGCCATCTGTGGTGGCTCAGATCCATGGGTCTGTCCATTCATACATAGTTGCTTAATCAGTTACTAATTTACTAGCCTACCTGTCTTCTATTCTTGCATGTCTCAGAGAAAGTACTGTCAAGGCCCTGGTAGAGGCTCAGCTGGCATCTCTTCAAGCACAGCATTTCCCAATCCAGGTCCAGCACACCACCAAAGAAAGAAGTGGAGGTTGGTGGGAGTGGACAGCTTGCCTGGCTGCTATTGGTTCTGCTTCTTAAAAAATATTTGTATTAATACTTTGAGAATTTCATACAATGCATTTTGATCCTATTTGCCTACCCTCCAGCCCTTAACTCCTCTCAGATCCACCCTCACCTCCCTACCCCTGCAAACTTTGTGTCCTCTTTCTTTTTTAAATTTATTATTATTATGAGTAGTAGTAGTATTGTCTTTTTGAGACAGGGTCTCCCTGTAGCCCCAGTTGGCCTGGCCTGGAACTTGCTATGTAGACCATGATGGCCTTGAACTCACAGAGATCTGCCTGCCTCCACCTCCCAAGTGCTGGGACTAATGGTGTGAGCCACCATGCCCAGCTTTCTTTTTCTTTTTTAAAATCATCAATTGACTCCAGTTTGTGCTGCCCATATACTCTTGGGTGTGGGGCCATCCACTAGAGCATGGTCCATCTACCAGAAGTCACACCTTTAAAGAAAACTGACTCTCCCTCCCCCAGAAGCCATCAATTGTCCAAAGTTCCTCAGTTAGAGGTGAGGGCTCAGGAATCCCTTCCCACTTCATGCTGGAATGTTGACTGGCTTGATCTTGTGCAGGCTTGTGCAGGCAGCCACAGCTGCTGTGAGTTCATGAGTGCAGCAGTCCTGTCATGTCCAGAAGACACTGTTTTGCTCTGGTCCTCCCCAACCTCTAGCTTTTACAGTCTTTCCACCTCCCTCTTCCACCGTCTCTGAACCTTGGGAGATGGTGTGATATAGACGTTCCATTTGTGGCTGAGTATTCCACTGACACTCTGTACTTTGACTAATTAGGAGTTTCTACATGAACCACAACATCTACTACACAAAGAAGTTTCTCTGATGAGGACTGAGAGCTGTACTAATCTATGAGTAAAGAGATACAAATTTAGAGGGCAGCTTGATACTATGTCCATGTAGCAGAATAATAGCAGACAGTTCACCCCTGAGGCCTGTGAGCTCCCTGGCGATGGGTTCCTTGTCATATTTACAGTACCAGTCAAGTATTTTCTTCTGTGGTTTTAAATCTAATAAAAAAGCAGTTTGGTTACCCCCATAATATTGGCGCCACTAATATACCCATGGGCATATCTTGTTAAGCCATTTGTTATTATAGCTGACAGGGTTTACAGCTGGGTAAGAGAGTTGATGACTTTTTCTCTCCCAGCAGCCTGCATAGCACTTTACAGTTCTATGAAAGCTAGACAGCAGAGAGGAAACCTCCTGGTCAGCACCAGCTTAATGTCTCCAAGTCCTGTGACCAAATTGTGTGGTGTCTTCAACAATAGGGTCTTATCATCAAGTTCTGGTGGGTAACCAATGCAATAGTCTGTATTGTTTTGGGAGTCTCCAGGACATGCCTGACCAACAGAAAAGGGGAGGTAACACACACACTGGTACTGGGCTTTTTATTTGGCAATATGTGACTTCTGGGAGGAAGGAGCATTATCCCAGTGTAGAGAAACTCCAGTTAAACTCAAGAGTGTGTGTGTGTGTGTGTGTGTGTGTGTGCATGCGTGCTTGCATGGCATGCTACTGCACATGTGGAGGGCAGAAAAGGACTTGTAGAAATTGGTTCTCTCCTTCCACCATGCAGGTTCTAGGGACCAAACTCAGGTCATCAGGCCTGGCAGCAAGTGCCCTAACCTGTTGAGTCATCTTGCCAACTTCTCTCTATAACTCTCTTAGAGAATTTTCTCTCCAAAGTTATTGTCTATTGTAAGTGATAAATGAGAAAAATTAAGCATTTTGTGGTCTTTAAAAAATGTCCTTTTAACTGGTTTTGGTGGTATACAACTATAATCCCAGCAGAGGTAGGAGGATCTTAAATTCAAGGCCAGCATGTGCAAGACAGTGAGATCCTGTCTCAAAACAAAGAGACAAAGTACCATTTGTTTGTTTTTAAAGGGTCAAACTCTATCTATAGCCATGCTGGCCTCCAATTTGTGGCAATTCTCTTGCCTCAGCTTTCCCAGGGCTGAAATTACAAGTATGAGCCACCATGCTCAGCTAAGGTGCTCTTTGAAACTTATTTTTACCATGGCAACTCAAAGGATAGTTGCACATTTAAATCTCAGTATATCTTGGGCTGCAGCAATGGCTCAGTGGTTAAAAGCACTGTTTACTCTTGCAGAGGAACTGAATTTGATTCCCAGCACTCACATGGTGGCTAGCAACCATCCCTAAGATCAGTTCTAGGAGATGCGGCACCCTCTTCTGACCTCCACAGACATTGCATGACATGGGTGCACTTACACATATGCAGGCAATACACTCATACACATAAAATACAAATAATAAATAAAATATTTTTTTAAATCTCAGCATTTCCACAACTGTTGTCACCAAATCAGCCTGAACTGGCTATTGAGTAACATTTTAATTATGCAATTCTAAAGAGCTTTCATTATCAGAAAAGTGTATTTGATTTGTGTGTTCATTTAACTTTGGAGAGTGGAGACCCTAACACTAATGAGAACATCATGATAGATTACACAATGTGCTATAAATGTGAATGTACAGTTGGTTACATCCTAACAAGCAAGTCGAGAGGGATCCTGTGTTCACTCTTCAAGTGTTCCACTCTGCAGACTATGGAATCTACTTGTAACTTTCAATCCCTTCCATTGTTCCCTTGATCCTAAGTCTAAGAACCCAGAGAATGTCACTTCCAGGGCATACACTGAAGGGACTCCTACCACAGGCTTTTGCCCCACCCTATACCAGCTGACCTTCATGGTCCTACTTTTATGGATCCACATCAGAGTGTTTAGAGGGAAATTTTAAACTTATGATTAACCAAGAGAAAATAACCCATTTTGGGAGCGGGAGAATGTAGCTAATTTGAATTCTGACTCCAAATCTTACTTTTTATTTAACAGCTGTATGAAAGACCATATAACTGAAACCCCAAAACAGTATTTATTTTTGCTTTAAAAAACTTTAGGCAAAATGCCAGGCATGGTGGCGCATGCCTTTAATTCCAGCACTCAGGAGGCAGAGGCAGGAGGATCTCTGAGTTCAAGACCAGTCTGGTCTACACAGTGAGTTCCAGGACAGCTGGGGCTACAGAGAGACCCTGTCTCAAAAAGACCAAAAAAATTTAGGCAACAGTGACTAAGACTCTTTTGGGTAGAGAAGGCAGGCTGTTTTTAATTTGTGGGTTAAAAAAGACATCTGAGGGGCTGGAGAGATGGCTCAGCAATTAAGAGCACTAGCTGCTCTTCCAGAGGACCTGGGTTCCATTCCTAACAATCATGAGACCCGATGCTTTCTTCTGGCCTCTTTGGGTTTGCACACACATGGTTCACTTACGTATATGCAGGTAAAACACTCATACACATAAATAAAAAAAAAAAAGTCTAAAAAGATATATGACTGTTCAAAGTGGCCAAAAAGGAAAGTCAAATCAAATGTCACCCAGGAATATATCCCTTAAATTTAAAGTGAGGCAAATCAACATGACCTTTTTTGTTCTTTGAATATTGTAAGCTGAGATGATCTAACAAATTTCAAATCCGCTGCCTAATTATATGAAAATAACCAGAACAGGTTTCTTAGATTACAGGAGGGAGAAGAAGAATAAAAACAGTCTGTCCTCACTAATGCCCTGTCTGCCAGGAGCATAAAGAGGTCAATCTTGTACCTTGTGATCTTTTCAGATGGCTTTTTGTTTGTTGGTTTATTTTTGTTTTTTGAGACAGGGTCTCCCTATAGCCACAGATAGCCTGAGCTATGGAGACCAGGTGGGCCTTGAACTCACAGCGATCTGCCTGCCTCTGCCTCCTGAGTGCGGGGATTAAAGGAGTGCCTTACCATGCCTGGCTCTCAGATAGACTTTTGATCCTTAGATAAATAAAGGGGAGTGGGTAGAGAGAAGCCATGGAAATCCAAACCCTGGAAGGGCTGATTTTCTCAGTTGTGATTCTTTGCTAAGTCACAGTGTTAAATAATGCTACTACCGTCCTGAAGCCAGGAGCCCATTTCTCCCGGGCTGTGGCCTTCAGACACACTGTGCAGAGTATTGACACTGGTTTAGGTGCAGACACAGGGGTCATGAAGGCAGCTTGACAGAACTGCTGCAGTGCCCTCCCTGACATACTTCTGACACAGCTGACTTCTTCCTCAAAGTAAATTTCCAAACATTTCCACCAGACATAGCTAGAAAAATCTATCTAAAACAGGGTTATAGATTTTCAGTAAGAAGCATTTTGATTCAGTGTTCTCTCCAGTTTGTTAACCTGAATTTTAAAAATGGATACATTTTTTAAAAGCATAGGAGAAAAGCAAACCAAAACACAATTCTTGCAAATTAGGAGGATATACTGCAGGTGGCG